ATCCATTAACCCAAAGCTAAAATGCTGAAGGTGGGGAGATGAAAATATTTCTAAAGCAAAACAACACTTTTTGTTGTCAAAATTATTTGTTATAAGTGTGTGGCCTTTTTTTTAAATAAAGCCTTCAAAAAGACAACAACTTCCAGAAACTGCCCTTTTGAAGGAAAAAAAAATTAGTCTAATGCCAGGTGGACAATGACAATTTTTGATGGGGGGCCACTGCAAGACTTTGGAAAGTGGTCAAGGGCTGCACATTTCTGTGGAGGGGGTGCAGGGTCTAGGACAGAGGCTGGGTGCAGAAGGGCGCATGGGGTAAGGGACTGGGGTGCAGGAGAAGGTGTGAGGTCTGAGAGGGAGTTGGGGTAAAGGAGGGGGTTGTGACCTGGGTCAGGGGATCAGGATGTAGAGTCATGGAGGGAGTGTGGGTGCAGAAGAGGATTCTGGCCTGCAAATGGGTACAGGAGGGAATACAGGGTCTGGGAGGGAATTGTGACCTGGGGCAGGGAGGTGCAGAGGGCTTGGATGGTGACCTGGGGTAGTTGGGGTGCAGAAGGGTAGGGGTGCCAGAGGCAGGTTTTGGCTGGGAGGTGCTTACCTAAGCATCTCCCAGGCAGCAGCCCTGCAGCACCCTCAAGGCACACTGGACTCCCTGTCTGCTGCAGCCTCAGACCACTTAAAACTGCAAGCTGCTCCCTCCATGTAAGACTCAGCTCTGGGACAGGGGAGAGGCTTGCGCTGCCCCTGTCCGGCAGGCCAATCTCGCAGCTCCTATTGGCTGGCTGTTTCTGGCCTATAGGAGCTGAGAGATTGGCTAAGGTGAGTTCCTGGTGGCCAGTTGTTTCCAATAGGGCTGGGGGTGTGGAGGTCACCCGAAGCCTCCCTCTCCCTCCACAGTAGAGAGTCTCACAGAGCAGGCCTGCGATTAAAACAGTGGCTGCTGCGTGACTGAGGTTCTTCGTAGGGGAGTCCGTGGGTCAGATCAAATGGCTTGATGGGCCGGATCCAGCCCATGAGAGGTCCCTCGCCCACCCCTGGTCTAATACAGGACTAGAGGAGGGCTTTATCGCTTATGGTATACGGCACAGGCAAGTTAAACACCACCCAACTGCAAAACCTTCAAACCTCTAACGAGATGAAGCTTCTCTCTCTCAAAGGAAATTTGTAATTATGCTAATTTCTCCAGACTGATGGTCATGCCCAGCCATTCGGCTTTTTCAGCATATTCTCCATTAGACCGTGTTCACTACACCTCAGCAGGCTTCTCACCATACCAATGCTCCTTAATGTTACAAAGCAGAACTAGCCCTCTTGTACCAGATTCAGGTGCAGCTGATAAAATCTTTTCTGAGATTAGTTCAAGAATATTATAAATCTCTAAGAATTAATTAACTCCTTACAAGTGCAAAGACATCAAATAGCTAGACCTTGCTCATTTTAAAAGAATGGATTATGTGCTCTGTAGAAAACAGTTTTAGCCATTTAATCCAATTTGAGCAAGTAGCAAAAAATTTGTTTGGAAAAGTTCTTGAAAAGTAGGGGGAAGGGAATACTTGAAATTTGAAGCTTTCTAAATGCTTCAGCGAATCTTCAAACAAAATACTGTGTGTCCTAATACTCATTACCAAGAACAAGGGTTATATTTAAGGATAGGTAATATGCAGGGAAGGTAAGGAAGTCAGAGGGTGGGTTCCAGTGGTTTAATGGATATGGCATCAGTCTGTGGAGTCAGGAATTGTGTGTTCGAGTCTGGGGTTGTGGGTTTGAGTTCCCCCGACCTGCTCCAGGAAAGAGCTGGACAGCTTGCCCAATGCTGGGAGTGGAAGCAGTGGGGCAGAGCAGCTTCTATCTGTGGGGAGCGCAGACCCCTCACAGATAGGGTCTGCCAATCCCACCCTGCAGGTGAAGGATACAGTCATTGTTTGTCTAGAGAGATTATTTTCTTCAAGCTTGGGTAAACAAGGCAGCAGCACATCATCATGGCAGTTTTTTGGACAAAACAAAAAAGAAAAAACTTAATGTTGTTTCTAAATGAAAACCGTAGAACTTGTAGAATATCAGGCTCAGTCGATGCTTACTGAATATGCTGAATTTTCTCTGACCTATAGAACTATTATTCTGTCTTTTCCCCATATCCAAAACTTGGGAATGGCAGTGCTCCAAAATGGAAATTTGAATGCAAAGTTTCAAAAAACAGCCGTGAGAAGGGGAGTTACAGCATGGAACTATCTTGCAAGTTGCTGGACACACCTCCACAATCTGAGGCCATGTATCTCCACCCCTAGTTTGCACAGTAACTCAGTAGCAGAGTAAGATCGCAGCCCTCCTAAATTCCAGCCCCCTACTCAAATCAAAGAGTGAGCCAGAGCCCAACATTACACAGTAGGACTTTTTGGTCTTACTGTACAATACGCCTGAGTGCAAAGTAATATTTATTCAATGAAATATGCAACTTCCAGCTAAGTAACAAGTAAAAGACTTATAAAATCTAAGGCTCAGTTAACCACTCTACACCACCCAAAATAAATATCTGCACACCTGATACACGAGAGAAATGGGACATGTTTTGCTAAGGTACAACTGTTGAACTAGTACTAGGAAAATCCTTATAATGCATACCAAGAACCCCTTTGTATAGCCATGAATAAGAAAGTAAATGAAACACACACACACACACACACACACACAAAAAGACAATTTCATCCCAAAGTGTATTCTGCTCATTTCCTCTGACAAATATATTTCAGTATAGTACACATCAGACTCATCTGAGAAAGTGGGTTTTTCCCCCACGAAAGCTCATGATACTGTATATATTTTGTTAATCTCTAAGATGCTACTCTGAGGACTACTCTTTTTTAAAAAGTTTCAGACAGGTAGCCATGTTAGTCTGTGACTTTTAAATAGTTCAATAGTGATTTATGAGTCCTCATAATTTACTATAATATGCATTACCACATTTTGCAACAGTAGTGAAGCTTTAGTAATACAAAACCTCACTACAGCTCTCTGCTATTAAATCTTTGCTGAGAAGTAGGGTGAGAGTGACATGCAGTATTGTGAAACTTAACAGGTTTGTGGATTAGCGAAACTCTACCATATTGAAAGCTATAAATCCCTCTTCAGCCATCTCACTACATAAGGAAAATGTTCATTTTTCAATTAAAAGTCAATTAAACTGAATATTTAACACAAATATCAACTGGCTATTCTTGCCTATTGTGCCAACTTTCAAAATGACAACTTGAAAGTTTGGTTAGTCAGTTTCCTTTTGTAGTAATTGACGAGACTATTAACAAAAGGTAAATAAAGTATTTTTGGGGATAAAAGTTCTCATTCCATGTTTAGACAACATTTTGTACAAATTAAGGTTTAGTGTGCTTAATCAACAACATCTGCCTACACTGTAGACAAGACATGATATTTTGGCAGACAAATGGCTAGAGTTGTTTATGGATGAACTATCTAATTTACCCTCCAGAAAAAAAGAAAAAGAAGAAAACCTTAAAACTTTTGCTGGAAGCAGCACTTCGAATTAACTTCCTACCTAATAAAATAAACTCTGAATTAATATGAGGATGTCACAAAGAATTAAAGAAGGTCATGTTGTTACCTACTATATTTACCCCTAACTGTATTTATATAGGTTTAACATTTACCTATTTTCAGATTTTTTTCTCTCATTTTTATGCACACCATCTAATCCTTCTTATCTTTGCAAACCTAAACAAAAATTAGCATTAACTCTTAAACTACTCTGCTCCTTTGAGCCACACTGTATCACTACATAATTCCATTTTCAAATTAATAATTGATGTTTTTCCTCTCACCTCTAGTCTTCACATCTGGGCATAATCTTGACATGCAAAAACAGTACTTCATTGCCTAAAGTCTCTATGTCAGTTATAGTTTCTTTATTTCAGTTTAGATCTTGCAAAGGCAATTTAAAGTAAGTTAACCTGCTTCGGAATTTCCAATTGGGAAAAACATCTCCTGCACTTGATTGATACCAACAGACTTGTAGATTTCTACAACATTTTTTCAAAAAATCCTTCTGCAAGCCCAAACATTTACAACCCATACATTCAACAGGAACACCACAGATGCTTAGGCCCAACACACTTTAGACAGAGTTCCTAAGAAAAAAAATATTAAATGTACATAGTATTGCTTATTTTTTAAGATACTGTGGTCTATTCATAAGGCTTTGCTTGACAGACTGAAGGGTCAGAGTTTGCTGTATTGAGATTTTAGAGCCAGCAAAATCGAGATATTTGCTCAGTTACCGCATCTGGATTTTTTATTTTTTTATTTTTTTTACTGACACTGCTTGAATCCAGGTGTTTCCTCACTCAGCATGCCCAAATTTAGCAGTTCAAAAATACTGTCTTATTGATTCTGCCTTGACCTTTCCAGTTGATGGTCTTTGCTAGTTGATTGGTGCATGTACATGCACCAACCAGCACAGTCAGGGGTTGGTTTGTTTCACACCCAATAAAAAAGGTGCCAACTTTTACCCAGATATGCAGATCCTTGGACTCGAGATACTAAAGGCCTGCAGGAGGGGGACAAGGAAACAGTACAGGACAAGGGGGCCATTTCTCTAGGGAAGGGGCTCTATTAAAACAAGACCCAACATCTCCTCTACCCTTCCTCCATCGGGGCCAGGGGTAATAAGGCAAAGGTCACCCTTGTACCCACCGGACTTATCAAATGGGATGCAAAGCTGGGGGTATAAAAACCACCCAAAAAAGACTAGCGGAAGGGCGAGCTGGGGAAAAAAAAACCCCACGCCTTTCACACACACACCCCTTCTCCCCCGCGCGCACACAATTCCCGAGTCTGTTTTGGAAAGCACTTGGCATTAACCTAGCTCAGTCCCAAGTGCCCAGGGCGGTGTCCGGATCCAACCCCACTAACAGGTAGGGCAGGTACCTGTCCACGCCGCGCCGCGCACACCCCCACCCATCCGGGAAACCTGTCTGCGGCGCCCCCGCACTTACAGGGCGTGGGTGAAGGCGCTGAGTCCCTCGGGCACGGCGGTCAGCCCCCTCCCGGAACAGTCGACTCCGCCGTCCCCGTCGCAGCTGCAGGACGCCGGGCA